GAAGCGGAGGTCAGTAGTACTGACATGAGTAATAATATGAACATGGTGTTCAGAGATGCTGTTTTTTCTGTTCTCTTTAAAACGTGTGAATAAAGTTTGAGATGATGAAACCAGGAAGAAACCAACTCCTCCTCATCATCTGAAACTGCAGCAGACTGAAGACAAACACTCAGACAAGTCTGATAAAGGTTCAGACTTATTGTTTGGTTCAATTCTCAGATTATCGCTTGAACAGAATCCGGATTGAAACCTGCTTCACACTGGTTCTCGTACAGAAGCGGATCAGGTCCTGGAACGAGTCGCTCTGGTTTCGGTCCCGGTTCTTCAGCTGGCTGACGATGTGTCTCCTCCAGGTGTCCCCGGACCCTCCGTGTCCTCCCGGCACCACGAACCCGCCGCTCCGCTCCGACTCTCCGGCTGAGTCCGTCCTCATCCTGCGGGAGAAGGCGACGCTGTCAGCGGCCATGATGTCCACCCGGGTCCCCGCAGACAGACGCTCTCAGCCCGGTCTGAGGAGTCCCACTGTCCCGGTGTCAGCGACACTGTCTCCACTTCCTGTTTGTTTGTTTTAGTTTGTCACACTGCAGGGGCGGGGCTCAGGGGCGGGGCTCAGGGTGGTGGCGCGTCTCTGGATGCCAGCTGCCGGGTGTCTGAACCAATCAGCGCTGAGTTCATACTTCCGGTTTCCGACTGGAGGAGAACGTCACAACAAACAACCAAACACTTGTGACGTGTGACTTTATCAATGATGTCACAGAATGTTCAACGTAAAACAAGATGATGACATGACAGCTCAGAAAAGTGAAGCCAAAGCATCTCTATCACCCCCTGGTGTCTGGCTGCAGTACAGCTCACACACCTCCTCCAGGTCAGCAGCTGGGACATGAACCAATGTCTCCTCGTTAACTGGTAAAACTCAAAGTAGACGTTAAACGAAAGTTTGTCAAACACGTCTGTGTCGTTGCAGCTCGTTCTTCTCTGATGTTTGTCCGAGTGTTTCTCATCACTTTGGTTTAATCAGTTATGTGATGAGATAAGACGTCGTGATTGACAGCTGACACTGAGTCAGGATTGGTCGAGAAAATTATTTAGATTTAAACTTTTTAAAAGATGAATAAAAATCTATTCACATCTTGTGACTGGGATGAATTAAATTCAATGTAAAAAATGGTACAAGGTATTTTTCATGTTAAATTTTCTGTTTTCTTGAATAAGAATATTTTGTATTAAAATCACATCACTTTATTTTGATCTTTGCCAAAAGTTGTTATCTGCGTTTGCTTAATAAGTTTAGATAAAAACCACAGAACAGATTTCTATGAAATAACCTGAGGAAGAATCAGAGAATGGATCAGATCAGGATTTTTTCTTTCATCAACAATGTTTTTTCTAAGAGAATAATTTAACATTTCATTCTATGAGAAATGAAACTTTAAGAAACATGTAAAACTTGTTTATTTACAAACAGTGATGTGATTTAAAAACAACACAAACAAGATGCTTGATTTAATACTCGTTAACTAACCTATACATTTATATATAGAATGTGACCGAACGCTTCCTCCTTCAGCCTCCACACCGTCTCAGACTTCCTGTTGTGACTCAAGAAGAAAAACAAACAAACCAAAACTTTTAATGTTTGACGTTATAAACCAAAGTCAAAACATGTTACAGTTCTGACGATAAAATAGAAAATAATACGATTGACGCGTGATCGTGATCAGATCCGGTTCAGTTTGTTCTGCGTCATCTGCAGCAGCAGCTCAGAGTATTTCTCCAGCAGAGACATCGTCCCTGCACCCTCCAGTCCACCAGAGGGCGTGCTGCTGCCCTGCCCCTCTCCCTGCAGGACCACCTGCAGCTCAGAGTATACGGATTCAAACGCCTCCTGCAGGACAGATGACATCTGGAGCCGCTGCTCCACAAAGCCGAGCGACTCACCGAGCTGCAGGAAGAAAAAGGCTGAAAAGTCAAAATATAAAAAGGTGAAGTTGAAAGAAAAACCTTCAGAAATGTACAGAACCTGCTGGTGAAGGCGTACGGCTCGTCTCGCCGTCTGTCGCAGCTCGTTGGAGACCTGCTGACACTGCTGCAGCGTCACCGCCTCATCATCGCCTGAAACAACAAACACATCCTCAGTCAGCCTGAAGGTGGCGCCAGGAGTCTAACGATATCCCAACAGATGTGAGAACATCGCAGGAAGTTACCTGAGAGAGGGGGGCAGGGTCTGTCTGAAGGTGGACAGGAGGCGGAGGTGGGTGGGCCACAGGAGGACGAATCATCACCAAGAGTCTCGTTTGATTCTGGATCAGAAATAAACCGGAAAAAACTGTTCATATGTTTCAAAAGTTAAATTCAGATCTAAGAAATAAAATCACATTAAACAAATCTTCAGAGAACATCACAAATTTACCCACAAGCCCTTTTTTCCTACCTGGACCGACCACGTCCCTAGAGACCGAGCCAGTGATGAAAGGGGCGGGGGACGCGATGAGCGTTTGGTTTTGATTCGTTGGCGTTTCTTCAGTGCTACTGGTGTTCCACCTGCTGGCTCCGCCCTCTGATGGCACCTCAGTGGGTGTGGTCAACAGCTGAGGGCTGTTGAAGGCGGAGTTAGAGGCGGGGGGGTCCTGGCTCACTTTGGACCTGGAGCTGGCTGTGGTCCCCAGGTAACCGAGCCGTGACGGCCGCTGCTGGACCGCAGACATGCTGTTGGTGGAGGTGACGTCTGATTGGTCTAAAAAAAGAAGGTCAGGGAGGAAACACTCAGGTGAACAGGTGAGTGACCTCTGACCTCACAACAACCTGAGTGACCAGGTTAAAGTTCAGATGGGGACGTGTTCGTTTTACTGTCACTTCAGACCAATGACATCATCGCTAAATGTTGATAAATGATTAAATGTGAGCGTCTGTGACATCATCAGTCATGTGATCGATTTTTCGACTCTGAACAAACGAACGAAACCATCTGAAGAAACACGACCAAGAGTTTGATCAGAACCAGCTCCGACCAGCAGAGTCCACATCGACACCAGGTGATCTTTACCACACACACACCACCCAAGTGACACACACACACACACACACACACACACACACACACACACA